AAGGTTCTATATGGTCTACAGTAAAGTATCTATTGGTCTGCAGTAAGGTTCTATTGGTCTGCAGTAAGGTTCTATTGGTCTGCAGTAAGGTTTATTGGTCTGCAGTAAGGTTTCTATGGTCTGCATAAGTTCTTTGTCTACAGTGGGTTCTGCATAGGTCTAGGGCAGTGAGGTTCTAATGGTGCGCTACGTAGAGGTTCTTTTGGTCTACAGTGAGGTTCTATTGGTCTGCAGTATAGTTCTATTGGTCTGCAGTGAGGTTTCCAGGTGTTACCTTCCTCTCCGTGAGAATGTCCATGTCCTCCATGCTGGAAAACAAAGATCCCGACCAGGTTCACAGCAGACCGGCCAACAGAGACAGGAAGCAGCCGCTCATGGTGAACGTCAGGAGGCTCCAAGCCTCTGAGAAGAGAGACAGGTAGAGAGACAGACAAGTAGAGAGAGAGACAAGTAGACAGAGAGAGAGAGAGAGAGAGACAGGGAGAGAGAGAGAGACAGGAAGAGAGAGGAGACAGGGTGTGGCCACGTAAACTTTGGAGTGTGTGTTAATGTGTGTGTGTGGGTTAGTTGTGTCCATCAGTGACCATTCTATAATAATAATAATAATAATAATAATAATAATAATAATGAATGTGATGATGTCAGACTGTGATGATGTTCATCCTCCCCCCGGATCTGGACCTTTGCCTGGACAGTTGGTATCAGACCTGGAGTTGAGACTCATAGCTTGAGTGTGTGTGTGTGTGTGTGTGTGTGTGTGTGTGTGTGTGTGTGTGTGTGTGTGTGTCTCTCTCTCCAGTCTAGGTCTGATCTCAGACTCCTTCCACATGTTCTTCGACTGCACCGCTCTGCTGGCAGGTCTGGCAGCCTCCGTCATCTCCAAGTGGAGATCCAACGACAGCTTCTCCTATGGGTGAGACCCCTGACCCCTGACCCCTGACCCCTGGAGCCCCCTGTTCACGAGATCTGACTGCAGGACCACAGAGAACCTGTCTCTCATGTCTGTCTGGTGTGTTTCAGGTATGTGAGAGCAGAGGTGTTGGCGGGATTCGTCAACGGACTCTTCCTCATCTTCACAGCCTTCTTCATCTTCTCTGAGGGAGTCGAGGTAACACACACACACACACACACACACACTAACACATACGTGGCACACCTGTCTCCCTCTCTCTTCCTGTCTCTCTCTCTCTCCCTGTCTCTCTCTCTCTCTCTCTCTCTCTGTCTACTTGTCTCTCTCTCTACTTGTCTGTCTCTCTACCTGTCTCTCTCTCAGAGGGCTCTGGAGCCTCCTGACGTTCACCATGAGCGGCTGCTTCCTGTCTCTGTGGCCGGTCTGCTGGTGAACCTGGTCGGGATCTTTGTTTTCCAGCATGGAGGACATGGACATTCTCACGGAGAGGAAGGTAACACCTGGAAAACCTCACTGCAGACCAATAGAACCTTACTGCAGACCAATAGAACCTCACTGTAGACCAAAAGAACCTCACTGTAGACCAATAGAACCTCACTGTAGACCTATAGAACCTCACTGTAGACCAAAAGAACCTTACTGCAGACCAATAGAACCTTACTGCAGACCAATAGAACCTCACTGCAGACCAATAGAACCTTACTGCAGACCAATAGAACCTCACTGTAGACCAATAGAACCTTACTGCAGACCAATAGAACCTCACTGTAGACCTATAGAACCTCACTGCAGACCAATAGAACCTCACTGCAGACCAATAGAACCTCACTGCAGACCAATAGAACCTTACTGCAGACCAATAGAACCTCACTGTAGACCAAAAGAACCTCACTGCAGACCAATAGAACCTTACTGTAGACCAATAGAACCTCACTGTAGACCTATAGAACCTCACTGCAGCTGTATAGAATATCACTGCAGTTCATCAGAACCTCACTACAAACCAATATAACCTCACTGCAGCTGCTTAGAACCTTGCTGTAGACCAATAGAACATTGTGTAGTACTCCATTTTACCTGTGAATAAAATTGCAGCCTCACAGAACCACACTGGAGCTCAGTAGAACCTTGGTTCTCTAACCTCTCTGCCCCCTCTCTCTCAGGCCACGGTCACAGTCACTCTCTTTTTAACGGCAGTCTGAATCACGGACACAGTCACGGAGGACACAACCACCAGAGCAAACATGGAGGACACGGACACAGCCATGACAGTCATGACAGTCATGGACACAGTCATGGAGGACACGGACACGGAGGACACGGACACAGCCACGAGGAACCACACTGTCACGGTGAGAGTCTGTTACTGACCCCAGGTCGTTGACGGCTTCACACTGTTTACAGTCTGCACTGAGAATCATACAACGACAGCAACAACAGCAACAACACAATGATCTGTGTGTTATTAGTTACAATACATTGTTTCTTCATTATTGTATTGTATTATTTGATTCAAATTTATACAGAAATGGATACCAGAGGATACATACATATATATGTGTGTATATATATATATATATATTTATATGTGTGTGTGTGTGTATGTATGTGTGTGTGTATATATATATATATATTTATATATATATATATGTATGTGTTTGTGTGTATCAGATGTGATTGTCGTCCACACTGACTCATCTCTTCTTCTCTCAGATGAGCTGTTCCTTACTCCGGGGAAAGGTTCAAGTAAACAGATCCTTCAGGGTGAGTCCATGTAACGTCTCAGGTCACAGATGGATCAGAACATCTCACCAGAACAACAACAAGTGGACACGTGTTTTATTCAGACGGTCACTCATCTTAAAATACATCGTTTCATTTTAAAGATTTAAACAAATAGGGGCTGAAGTGAGTCACATAGATACACACACACACACACACACACACACAAACACACACACACATAATGAGACATAATGAAGTCAAATGGAGTGAGGCAGGACTTGTGAATGTCTCAGCTCAGTCGTTGAACCTTGTCCAGTAAAACCTAACAAGCTTCCTTTAGTTTCACTGAGCCACCAGGGGGCGCCACACACCATCACTCTGACCTGAAGAAAAACGGGTGTTTTTGTGTTTGTGTTGCAGGCGTCCTCCTCCACATCATCGCTGACACTCTGGGCAGTATCGGTGTGATCATCTCTGCTCTGCTGATGCAGAAATACGACCTGATGATCGCTGATCCCATCTGCTCCATGCTGATCGCCATCCTCATCGGAGTCAGGTGACCCACACACACATACACACACACACACATATATATATATATATATATATATATATATATATATATATATATATATATATATATATATATATATATATATATATATATACACACACACACACACGTGTCCTTCATCCAATCAGCTCGTTATTCTGGATAACGACGGACAGATCTAGAGGTAGAGACGTTGTTTGAGGGGTAAGACTTTTTTGGGGGGGTTAGGGTGGGGTTAGGTTGGGGGGTTGGGGTAAGGGAAAGTATTGTCAATGAGTGTTCTCCACAGGGAGAGTGAAGCACTGTTCTCCACAACATCTCCACTGACCAACAGAGCCACTAATTGACCCCCAGAACCTCCTCATTCACCAGTAAAATGTCTACATGAGCTTTCTAAAGCGTTCCTAGATGAACTTTGTTGCCATTAGAACATCTTAAAGGACCCAAAACCTTCTCAGGGACCACTACAACCACCAAAAAATGCATGAAAACTTAAAATATAACCTCATCAAGGACACAAAGAACCTCCAGTGACTCATAGAACATCTTTAACAACCAACTCCAACTTAGTAAAGGGCCCCTAGAACCCCTTCAGTGACCTGGAAAACGCTTTAAAGAACCTCCTCCTGCTAAGATCTGCCTAAAGGACCCCTAATCCTCTCCAATTACCTCTAGAACCTCTTAAAGAACCTATTGAACCCCTGCAGCGGTGACTAGAACATCCCAGATGACTCCTAGAACCTCCTCAGTAACCATTAGAACCTCTTGAAGGAAACCCAGAGCTCCCTGATAAATAACGAAACATAGAAAATGTGAAGTTAGTGTAACTTTGGTGTTTTCTCACATTACCAACTTGCAGCTTTAAAATGTCGTAGTAGTGGTGAACACAGCATCAGAGGAATGTTGACGTCACCACATGAAGATGTTAAACACTCCAGGTTCAGTTCTCTGGAAGTTTGTTTCCACAGAACTGACCTGAGAGATCCAGTAAATCCTGATGGGTTCTTTACAGTACGGTTCCCACTCATTTAAAGAATGTGGACTTAGTCGTTAATGGGCTCCAACATGCCAAACCACCGGCATGGACTTGGAAACGGTGCTGTAGTCCGGTCTGGTCCTTTGGTCCTGGGGATGTAAAAGCAGTGGTCAGATTTCCCAGAAGCCGCGGTGATAGATGGAGTTGATGTGCTGATGTGGTCTGATAGGCTGGAAGTGAATGCAGCTGCACATTTAAAGCGTCAGCAGAGCGAGGAGCCGAGCGGAGCTGTGGTCAGCTCAGAGTCCTGCACAAACCACAGGCATCAGGTTACTGCAGCTGGAAACTGCTGCAGGCACAGTCCACAGCAGGACTCAAAACCTCCAGAGTCCTCACAGGATCTGAGCTGAGGACTCAGACCAGAACCTCCAGATAAACATCAAGTGTTTGTGGAAGACCAGTTCAGAACCAGCTGCTACTCAAACTCAGGTGTTGGTAGTAGTAAGGCAGCAGTACTAGTAGTAACTGTAGTATTAGTATTTGTACTGATATTTGTACTAGTATCACATTTCAGTAGAACTATAAGCAGCAGCTCATTTAGAGTCGGGGAGTATTTGTTCTTCTGAGTGTTCAGGTCGTGTAATGCACTGTAGTAGTAACTAGTAGTAGTAGTAGTAGTAACAGTAGTAGTAGTACTGATAGTATAATTGTATGGTCAGTGTTGCGATGCTCAGTCCACCTTCACCGTCCCTCTGTGACCTCTGATCTCTGACCCTCAGCGTGGTGCCTTTACTGAAGGAGTCCATCGGGATCCTGATGCAGAGAACTCCTCCCTCACTGGACCATGCCCTGCCAGAGTGTTACCAGAGGGTGAGCACTGACCACACCCTCATAGAACCCACCCCCAACAAAACCTGGAACACTGTTGGCCAGGTGTCTGTAATATCCAGCGTTCTGTGTGATGGACAGGTCTAATTACTGGTTTGTTGTGTTGCATTCAGGTGCAGCAGCTGCAGGGAGTGTACAACCTGCAGGAGCCTCACTTCTGGACTCTGTGTACTGACGTTTACATCGGAACTTTAAAGCTGCTGGTCGCCCCCGACGCTGACACCCGCTGGATCCTCAGCCAGACTCACCACATCTTCACACAGGTACCTGAACGCACCACACATTAACGTTTCCCTGGAAAATACTTGATACTTGATACCATCTTCGATACCATGGGGAGAAAAAATGACCTTAACCCTTTTTTTAATAAAGATTAGAACAATACAAACAATAATATCAATGACAACACTATTTTTATGTTGTCTGAGGTTGTGCAAAAAAAACAACAGTAACCTTACTGTAAGGTGTGTGTGTGTGTGTGTGTGTGTGTGTGTGTGTGTGTATATATATATATATATATATATATGTGACATGCAAATATATTCGGCTACAGCCCTGTTTATTGTCTGTGCTTCTGGTGACTTGGCACCATGTTTTCGTTGCTGATCAAACAGAGTTGGGAGGAGAGGCTGCCGCTGTTTCTGTCGAGTTGCTGGTCGACTTTTCTCAGCTTCAGTCTGGGACTTTAAGAGAAATATAACACTTTTCAGACACAAATAATTGTTATCATGTTAAATTAACAGTCTAGTAACGTTACAGACGGGCTTGACTGATAACGTTTGCTGCCTAGCTGCCGCTAGCTTAAAGGTAACTTAACAGACAGCTAATGTGGCTATCAGCTAACTGCTTATAGTTAAACAGCTAATGTTAACATGTGCCGCCGGCCAGGTAAAATAATAATGCAAAATCATTCCAAATGGCACTTTTGGCTTTTTCAATTTCAACTAAAAGAGGTTGTGAAGGTTCTTCAGCAGCAGCACTCGCCATGTTAATTTAGCTTTATGCTGGAGACACCAGCTCAGTGTTGTGAACGTCAGCTAGCGTTCATGTGTTCAGCTGCTAGTGGGGGGAGGGGCTGTGTGCCTGTCTGTCTGCAGCTCTGCTGTATGAAGCGAAAACGGCACTGTTGGTATTGATGCTGTTGCAAATAAGTATCTGACCTGATACTAATTTTTAGTATCGATCAGTATCTGAGTATTGATTTTTTTGACAATCCTACTCACCTGTTGTCCGTCCACAGGCCGGCATTCGACAGCTCTACGTTCAGATCGACGTGGCGGCAATGTAGACGCTCCTGCTCCTCTCGACACTTGGGACCAATCACATTTCAGTCTGCTGCTGCAGGTGACCCCTGACCCCCCCCTCCCCTGCGAGTCACTGAAGACAGACTGTGACCAGAATTTTAGGTGGGGGGGGGGGTGTCACTGTGAACTGTGACCAGATGAACTCGAACAGCCCCTCCCCTACCAGTTTTTATGTTAATATACCTGTCTGTGTTGGTGGGCAGTGCCCCCCCCCCCCGGGACAGAGCATTCTTGCTAAGTGCCTTCATCATGAATCAGAGACAATCTGAGGCCACGCCCCTTCTGTGACATCACTGCTGGGACCAGACTGCTGCCAGCTGATTGGTCCGTGGTGAGTGTGTGTGTGATGTCACTCCATGTTTTTAACGTGCCAAACCATGTGACCAGACCATGTGACCGGTCGGAAGGTTTCAGTCTTTTTTCAACTGTAATAAATGATTCAGTTTCTCTGAGCTGATTATTATTGATTATTGATCTACAGCTTGATTGATGACATCACATCAGTTTTATCAGGCTTAATTGTTTCAGTCTGAGGAGGCAAAGAGAAGCTGATTTAACCATCATTTTATAAGCACCTGCACGCCTCATTGTCAAGCTGGACGATACATCAATCGATCGTCTAAACCTGAGACACAGAAACTGTTCATCCGACACCTCCCTCTGAGGAAACACCTGGATATTTTGGAGGGAAAATCAGACCAGAGGAGAAACTGTGTAACAAGGTTTCAGTGTCAGATGTTTATTAAATTGTTGTCAAACCTTTTCACCTGGTGTCACCTGTGATCTGATCACACCTGAGCAATTATCAGCACAGGTGTGAGCTGAAGTTATAGGAACCAGTTATCACAACTTTATACTGATTATATGGGAGACATGGGGGGAGGGACTCTTTAAGTTCTTGGAGGTTTTTGGACTAACGTGTTTTCATGTGATCCAGATCACAGGTGAAACCAGTTCCACAATATTCAACATTAAATCAGATTCATTCAGGAAAACTGACTCGACTGATTCATTATGTCACAAAGACACAGATACCTGGTGTGAGGACAGATCACAGCTGATCAGATGCTCTGACATCATCATCATCACCAGAGACAAACTGGATCAATTCAACATTAAAGTGTAAAATGTGTGTAATTTAACAGTCAAACTGGATCAAACATCTGGTCCAGATGTTGCTTTCAACCTCAGAGTCCTGCAGCTGTGTCTGTGTGAGGACCAGGTCCTGGTCTAAACCATCACTGAGGACTCTGTTGGGTAAGGCTGCTGGTCCTCTTGACTCCAGGTTCAGATCTGGATCATGTTGGGGGTGGGGGGGGGGTCACACAGACAGACAGGTGTGTGTTATGAGGTGTAGGTGGAGCTGTCGATCATGTGCAGGTGCTCCAGTGCGTTTGGTTCTGCGTTCACTCGCAGCATGTCCACCTCCAGCGGGTGGAGTTGAGCCGTTACGACCAGTGAGTGGAGCGGAGCGCCGAGGTCATATGACAACAGCTGACGCAACGTCGCCACGCGGATCGTCTGGTCATCTGCGCCGAGTCGGGCCACGCCCACACACACCGTGTCCTCTGTCACACCTGTGGGGAGAGGGGGAGGGGCATATTTTGGCGTGCTTACAAACATTAGCATGAAAGGCAGCAGGTTCTATTGACCTCTATTAGCTTCCTGTGTTAAGGTAGTATAGTAAGGCATAAAAAAGTGATAGTATAGTAAAGTATTAAAATGTCACATAACATGTAGAAAAAAGTTTGAGAGAAAAAGTCTCATTTCGATAAAAACAAAGTTTTAATATTTAAAGTTAAGTCAAAATTAATTAGAGAAGAGGACAAATTCATTTCATAAATTTCACCTGATTTAAGGTTAATTTCTTTATTAAAAGGTCAAAGGTCACCTGAACTATAAACCTGCAGTGATGTCACAGTGTACTCCAGGGTGTGTCAGTACACTGACATCACTGGTGGGCGTGGTTTCTCTTTAAAACCATCTTTAAATCACCTGTGAGTTTCACCTGTGTTCAACCAAATCAGATGAGAGCTGATCAGCTGATCAGGTAAGACTCACCTAGCTCCTCCCCTTCCTCCCTCTTCCTCTGGATGATCTGGATCAGCTGATCTGCCGCCTGGCTGACCGTCATGAAGCGAGGAGGCTCATAGATCTTCTTCCCTCTGGAGTCCAGATCCACATAAAACAGGATTAGTTCACTTCAACAAACTACACAATCAAACATGTGACCCTGACCCTGATCTTTATCCTGATCAAGTCCTTGATCCTGATCTAGACTCACGGTCATTGATTTTCTAATCTGATTAAATTGAGAAAAAAGCAAAAATGGCTTCCTGTGTCAAATTCGACTGACCCAGTCCAGTCCAGTCCACTAAAGCTCGATTTTAAAGATGCAGGTCCGGACCAGGTTCAGGTATCAGTTTAGTCTTGATGCTTCACTGAACGAGAACACTGATTTCTAACCACAGACCAGGACTGAGTCTTGATGTGGTTCTGACTGAGGGGTGGTTGGGGGGGGGGGGGCAGCAGAATCTCTGTGGCTCTGATGTTTCTGTGAGCTCATCTCACCGCCACCGCACATGTTCACTGAGGTTCACCTCAAAATAACTGAGAAATGACATCATCACCAACAGACCAGCACTGCTACTCTCTCTGAACCTAGAGGAGGACTGGACCTGGACCTGGGAGGGATTCTTGTGGATCAGAATGTGGTTCTGGTTCTTACCTCATCATGTTCTCGATGCTCTGCTCTTTCACTTTGATGTCTGTCAATAGAGACACAGTAGAACACATTAGATCCACAGAGTCTGAGACAAGAGACTCAGTGTGTCAGCTGATGGACGAGCGTCTGTGTTCATGGTTTTAATTCTATTATTTTCTCTAATGAACATTAACACAGAGGAACCAGCTGAGACACACACAAACACACACACACACACACACACACACACACACACACACACACACACACACACACCAGCTCCCACAGGACTGTTTGTTTGGGGGGGTCCCTGGGGTGTGTGTTTGGGGGGGGGTTGATTGATGGTGGTCTGACACCTGGTCATGCTGGACCCTGAAAGCCCCGCCCCCTGGTCTTCATCACATCCAGCTGACACCTGAGCCCATTCCCATGGTAACAGTATCACAGTGATTCTGCTGCTGCACTTTGACCACCAGACCTGTGTGTCTGTGTGTCTGTGTGTGTGTGTGTGTGTGTGTGTGTGTGTGTGTGTGTGTGTGTGTGTGTGTGTGTGTCTCACCCAGCAGACAGAGTGTGTGTAGTCCAGCTCTTCTGTTTTTACAGATCTTGTCATAGAAACTTTCTGGTCTCCACGTCTCCGTCCAGAACACCAACGACACCGTCTCGCCAAAGTTATACAGCTGACACACACACAAACAAACACACACACACACACACACACACACACACACACACACACACACACACACACACACACACACACAGTTTTAATAAAGAGGAAACAGAGACTCATGAGTGAATCTGTTTCCTGTTGTTTCAGTTCAGAACGTGATGACAGGAAGCAGCAGGTCTGAGGTCAGCTGACCAATCACGTCAGAGGTGGTCAGTGATTGGTCAACTAAAGTCTACACCAGCTGGAATCTTTCTGAAAACTGATTTTATTTTGAAGGAATTTTAATCTGTGAATCTTTATTGTTCACGTCAGATTCAGGTTTGTGTGTGTGTGTGTGTGAGTCACAGCAGCAGCTGTATCTCTGTCTGACAGGTAGGGAGGGGGTCCAGTGTTTTTTATTGGGGGGGTAATAATGTCCCACAGACAGCACACCCGCCCCTTATTAACATATTAACGACCTCCCAGAGGAGAGCTCTGTTAGCATTAATGCTAATGTATGTGTGTGTGTGTGTGTGTGTGTGTGTGTGTGTGTGTGTGTGTGTGTGTGTGGGTGCGTGCGTGCGTGGACAGCTGGGTCCTGCTCTCTGATTGGCTGCTCTGACAGCTCAGTTATTGATGTGGTCACATTAATGCGGTGTGTTCACTGACATCATCATCAGCACCAGATGGGAAAGATGGGACAGAGGACACACGGAGGCGTGTCGCCCTGAGCTCTGACTGTCAGGCTGACGTCTCAGCTGATTCTCTTAAACTACGACAATCAGCTGATATTCACCATCAAACACTATGAATCTGTTTAAACACCTGCAGCATCCTGTAAACCTCAGCCACATGACACCAGGTATTTCACCTGGGAGCTCAACAGATCACTGCATGTTTCAGAGAAATCTTTCAAATGTGGATACGAGAACTAAACTTCTCAAATCCTCCTTGGGTTTTCACTCTTTTGATAAAACACGTTAGCCACTGGAAAATTCAAGATGGCCACCACCATTTTCTCATATCAATAATCCAGGTGTCAAATCATTTTAACAATGTAGGAGGACCCTAAAACTAACCCTAAAACACTGTAAAAAATAAAATGAACGTATACTTAAGCAAAAATTATTAGTCATAAAAAAGCTTGCTAACTAGCCTAGCGCTTGTGAGTTAGCCTACCAAGCTAACGTTAAGACAAGTAAACAAGTAGACTGTAGACTCTTACAGAACTCTTGGTTCATCGTTCAAAATGAATGGTTTGTAAAATTATGCAAAAATTTTCCGCATTAATATTAGAAATTAGAAATGTCCTAAACGCAGCTCTGAGGAAACTTGAGGTGAGACTGGAGGATGGCTGTGGCTCAGAAGGTAGAGTGGGTCGTCCACTAATTAGAAGGTCGGTGGTTCGATCTCCAGCTCCTCAGGTTGATGTCGAAGTACCCTTGGGCAAGATACTGAACCCCACATTGCCCCTGATGGTTGTTCCATCAGTGTGCGAGTGCGATGTCTGAATATGAGTGAACGGGTGAGTGTGGAAGTATTGTAAAGCGCTTTGAGTCAGTAAGACTAGAAAAGTGCATTTACCATTTGACGTCCTCAGAGTCTAAAACAGGATTACAATTTGAAATCTGCCTGTGGGTAAAATATGTTTCTTGTGCCAGAAATGGCGGCCATCTTGAAATGTCAAGTGGCTAATGGGATTTTATCAAATTAATGGCCCCAGAGGGTAAAACATAAACATACCAGGGTTGGTGCTCGTGTCCTCTGCAGTAAACAGTTCGTTAAAATAAATAAACACTGGGAGGATCGTCTACGACCAGAACCATCAAAACCTTCAACAGTTTTTATCAAACGCTCAGAGACGTTTATGACTCAGGTCAGAAACCAGAACCAGCTCCCAGTCTGATGAGACTAGTACAACACCACCAGCCCCTGACATGTAGTCCACTTCCTGGTCCTTCCGCCAATCAGGATCCAGACAGGTGTGTGTTTTACCTGCAGACCACAGCAGCCCACGGCATTCATGATGGAGGCGTTGTGGATGACTTTGTACGGTATCCCAGCATTCACTGCTCTCAGGACCAGGTCACTGTGGGTGGTGGCTCTGCGGGAAGATGAAGAATTACACATTTAGTAAAAACAATAGATAGATATTATTGATAATCAATAACAGAATAGATAAAAGATAAAGACAAACTCCAGGAGAAGTGAATAGAATAAATAATGAGGATAAATCTGTAATAAATCTGTCAGAGGACAGGACAGAGGTGAAACAACACCATGATGAATAGAAACACCACGAACATTTTTAGTCTCCTGTGACGGAGAGAAGCTTCTGGCTTCATGTGAGCTAAACAAAGAGAGAGAGAGAGAGAGCTGAAGTCTGTCATTAACTCTCAGGAATCTGGTGGTTTTGGAGGGAAATCTGCTGAAATGAAGAGCGAGCTGCTCCGACACAAACTCTGTGGTCAGGTCAGAGTCTGCACCTCTCCACAACAATCCTCACTCTGACAGCAGACCTCAGATCTGATACGTGGACACCATGACTCACCCGAACGGGTCGCCCACCACCAGGAACGCCACATCAGCCACATCAGCATCCTTCAGGATCTCATCAGCCCCCTGTTCAACCAGATCTCTGTCCGCCAGGATCAGCTGCTTCCCATAGTACTGCTCCTGAGGGCCAGGCAGGAACTGTTAGTACGCTGTTAGCACGCCATTACCGTGGTTATAACACTGTCCCTGTGTATTACACACTGTGACAGTTTGTTACTGTAGTTTCTATTATTTTGTCCTCCCTGTTTATATCAAAGAATGTAAGTTAAATAACAGAGAAACTCTGTAACACAGTTAGTTAGTTTAGCAGTGTGTTAGTTGGTTTAGCAGTGTGTTATTTGGTTAGTAGTGTGTTAGTTTAGCAGTGTGTTAGCTGGTTTAGCAGTTTGTTAGTTTAGCAGTGTGTTAGTTGGTTTAGCAGTGTGTTATTTGGTTAGTAGTGTGTTAGTTTAGCAGTGTGTTAGCTGGTTTAGCAGTTTTAGCAGTGTGTTAGTTGGTTTAGCCGTTTGTTTGTTTAGCAGTGTGTTAGTTGATTTAGCAGTGTGTTAGTTGGTTTAGCAGTGTGTTAGTTTAGCAGTGCGTTAGTTGGTTTAGCAGTGTGTTGGTTTAGCAGTGTGTTAGTTGGTTTAGCAGTTTGTTAGTTTAGCAGTGTGTTAGTTGGTTTAGCAGTGTGTTAGTTTAGCAGTGTGTTAGTTGGTTTAGCAGTTAGTTGGTTTAGCAGTGTGTCAGTTGGTTTAGCAGTGTGTTAGTTGGTTTAGCAGTGTGTTAGTTTAGCAGTCTGTTAGTTGGTTTAGCAGTGTGTTAGCTGGTTTAGCAGTTTGTTAGTTTAGCAGTGGTTAGTTGGTTTAGCAGTGTGTTAGTTTAGCAGTGCGTTAGTTGGTTTAGCAGTGTGTTAGTTGGTTTAGCAGTGTGTTAGCTGGTTTGGCAGTTTGCTAGTTTAGCAACGTGTTAGTTGGTTTAGCAATTTGTTAGTTTAGCAGTGTGTAGTTGGTTTAGCAGTTTGTTAGACTAGCAGTGTGTTTGTTGGTTTAGCGGTGTGTTACTTTAGCAGGGTGTCAGTTGGTTTAGCAGTGTGTTAGCTGGTTTGGCAGTTTGCTAGTTTAGCAACGTGTTAGTTGGTTTAGCAATTTGTTAGTTTAGCAGTGTGTAGTTGGTTTAGCAGTTTGTTAGACTAGCAGTGTGTTTGTTGGTTTAGCGGTGTGTTACTTTAGCAGGGTGTCAGTTGGTTTAGCAGTGTGTTAGCTGGTTTGGCAGTTTGCTAGTTTAGCAACGTGTTAGTTGGTTTAGCAATTTGTTAGTTTAGCAGTGTGTAGTTGGTTTAGCAGTTTGTTAGACTAGCAGTGTGTTTGTTGGTTTAGCGGTGTGTTACTTTAGCAGTGTGTCAGTTGGTTTAGCAGTGTTTTAGTTGGTTTAGCAGTGTGTTAGTTTAGCAGTGTGTTAGTTGGTTTAGCAGTTTGTTAGTTTAGCAGTGTGTAGTTGGTTTAGCAGTTTGTAGTTGGTTTAGCAGTTTGTTAGTCTAGCAGTGTGTTTGTTGGTTTAGCGGTGTGTTACTTTAGCAGTGTGTTAGTTGGTTTAGCAGTGTGTCAGTTGGTTTAGCAGTGTGTTAGTTGGTTTAGCAGTGTGTTAGTTTAGCAGTGTGTCAGTTGGTTTAGCAGTTTGTTAGTTTAGCAGTGTGTAGTTGGTTTAGCAGTTTGTAGTTGGTTTAGCAGTTTGTTAGTCTAGCAGTGTGTTTGTTGGTTTAGCGGTGTGTTACTTTAGCAGTGTGTTAGTTGGTTTAGCAGTGTGTTAGTTTAGCAACATGTTAGTTGGTTTAGCAATTTGTTAGTTTAGCAGTGTGTTAGTTGGTTTAGCATTGTGTTAGCTGGTTTAGCAGTTTGTTAGTTTAGCAGTGTGTAGTTGGTTTAGCAGTTTGTTAGTTTAGCAGTGTGTGAGTTGGTTTAGCAGTATGTTAGTTAGTTTAGCAGTGTGTAGTTGGTTTAGCAGTTTATTAGTTTAGCAGTGTGTTAGTTGGTTTAGCAGTTTGTTAGTTTAGCAGTGTGTTAGTTGGTTTAGCATTGTGTTAGTTTAGCAGTGCGTTAGTTGGTTTAACAGTGTGTTAGTTTAGCAGTGCGTTAGTCTGTTTAGCAGTGTGTTAGTTGGTTTAGCAGTTTGTTAGTCTAGCAGTGTGTTTGTTGGTTTAGCGGTGTGTTAGTTTAGCAGTGTGTTAGCTGGTTTAGCAGTTTGTTAGTTTAGCAGTGTGTAGTTGGTTTAGAAGTTTGTAGTTGGTTTAGCAATTTGTTAGTTTAGCAGTCTGTTGGTTGGTTTAGCAGTGTGTTAGCTGGTTTAGCAGTTTGTTAGTTTAGCAGTGTGTTAGCTGGTTTAGCAGTTTGTTAGTTTAGCAGTGTGTAGTTGGTTTGGCAGTTTATTAGTTTAGCAGTGTGTTAGTTGGTTTAACAGTGTGTTAGTTTAGCAGTGCGTTAGTTTAGCAGTGCTTTAGTTGGTTTAGCAGTGTGTTAGTTGGTTTAGCAGTTTGTTAGTTTAGCAGTGTGTTAGTTGGTTGAGCAGTGTGTTAGTTTAGCAACGTGTTAGTTGGTTTAGCAATTTGTTAGTTTAGCAGTGTGTTAGTTGGTTTAGCAGTTTGTTAGCTGGTTTAGCAGTTTGTTCGTTTAGCAGTGTGTAGTTGGTTTAGCAGTTTGTTAGTTTAGCAGTGTGTAGTTGGTTTAGCAGTTTATTAGTTTAGCAGTGTGTTAGTTGGTTTAGCAGTGTGTGAGTTGGTTTAGCAGTTTGTTAGTTTAGCAACGTGTTAGTTGGTTTAGCAATTTGTTAGTTTAGCAGTGTGTTAGTTGGTTTAGCAGTGTGTTAGCTGGTTTAGCAGTTTGTTAGTTTAGCAGTGTGTAGTTGGTTTAGCAGTTTATTAGTTTAGCAGTGTGTTAGTTGGTTTAGCAGTGTGTTAGTTTAGCAGTGCGTTAGTTGGTTTAGCAGTGTGTTAGTTGGTTTAGCAGTGTGTTAGTTGGTTTAGCAGTTTGTTAGTTTAGCAGTGTGTCAGTTGGTTTAGCAGCATATTGGTTTAGTAGTAACTGAACAGTGTTGTAACAATAGTAACTATGGTAACTGAACACAGTGTAGTAACTATAGTAACTGAAATGAGACGCAGCAGACAACACACCGTTGAGCACATCTGGAGACATGTAGACACATGCTGTGAGACGATAGAGTTGTCATGGTGATCTGTTTCTACTGTGACATCATCACACTGATCAATGGTCACATTATTCCTCCCTGTGAACTCACAGCCGATCCACTAATAGTTCACCTGGACACAATGTTTAGAGTTGACATGCTGGTGTTGCTGAGGTGCAGAGTTAAACGGGGTTCAGGAGGTTCCTGAACGCAGCACAGTGACACAGCTGACAACAGCTACAGACAGGAGCAGATTCACTGACACTGGCTTCAGTCTGTGACGTCACGGTACAGCGGAGCGGACTGAAGTCAGTTTGTGGTTTAACATGTAAAGAGTGAACAGTGTCTAAACCATGACGTCATGTGTTTGGTGTCTGTTGCCAGACTCACCAGAGCCTCCTTCCCCACGGTCAGGACCGAGGTGTAGGCCTCCAGGTAAACCCTGGAGCAGCTCCTCACCGCCTCCAGACCCTTCACCGTGATGTCCGCGGCATCTCCCAGACCCAGGCCGATCAGATACAGCATTCTGCCGGACTGGTGCTTCGCCGGAACCACAAGCTCTTCTCAACCACTGGATGAAAACCGCGGCTCAGCCCTTTAACTTACGGGTTTTCTACTTTCACGTGTAGTCTCGATGGACGGACTGGAATACGGCTTGCCGTCAAATATTTACAGTTCACGACAGCTTCAGCCGCGATACGTTCTGCTCATGCGTCGACGTATGTTTTTCCAAATTCCGTTGACAAATCCATGTATTAATTAAAAGCTCGTTATTATCGACTCCATGTGTGGATTAAAATATCATATATACTATATCCTGAAACCGCGCGACGCACCGAATTAATTCGGCATACATTTAATAAACTAATTATATATGTTTTACATAAACTTTTAACTTTGAATGTGTTTTTCTCTACTACGTCGAAGAAATTATTTTTCATGACAAGTAAGATCAGCAGGAAATGAAGTGCTTGGTGGATTTTATCTGTGCCGAACTATAGAAACTCTAAAGAGTCCTGGTTTCATCAGACGTTTGAAAACTGATTAAAAAGATAAATTAGCAAAAAATACCAAATCAATCAATGGGGGCAGGTTCGACGTTCCATAAAGTACTAATGTGGGTAATAATCCGTTTACTGTTTCAGCCGTAGAACAGTTTTCCTAAGAAAAAACCTACAACATAAAATGTATTATTCGGTTATTTCAGTTCAACCTGCTGTTTATAATCATCTCATTAAAATCTCTTTAGTTTTACTTCAGTCATCTTATTTCTGAGCAGGTCACACAGTTGATGTAGGAGAAGCAGACGTTTCAGATCCTGCTGCTTTGTTTCATTCGCTCAACTTGAACTGTTTGTTTAATGTCATTTTATCTTTTCAATAAGTTTATATAGAAAAAAACTAATTACACTGTAATTACACAGATAAAACACATAAGTGACATAATTATATATAATCAAACTTTCTTCTGTAAATTTTATTTCCAAACTTTAGCCTGCACATAATGTTTGAAAGCTCCGTGTCTCTGTGCACAGGAATAAAATCATTTCAGTGACATTTAAATATATTGGGTGTAAAAAAAAATATCTTGAATTAATTCACAGATTTCATGAGTGATACACCCAGAAACTACAGCTCTGTGTCCTCTTGGTCTGGGTCTGGTCCTGGTTCACTCTTCGATCCAGTGAAGTTAAATCTTAAAGCTGCAACATTCAATGATATCAGATCCTGGTCTGATGGATCTGGATTTTGCTGAGGCAGCAGATGGTCAGAGTCTGAATCCATGGACCAACAGTCCAGGCTGCTGGTGAGTGTCTCAGTCTGACTGTTGTTGCTGACCATGTTCATCCTTCATGTCACAGTTCACCATCTTGTAATGGCTCCCCCCAGCAGGATCAGACTCCATGTCTCAAACACCAACATCTGGAAAAACAGAGGAACTCCTCTGTTAGTAAGCTGTTCCTAATAAACTGATCACTGAGTTTATTCCTGTTTTTTTCTTTATTTTATGATTTTATGATTTTATATGATTTTCAGTGTCGCCCTCTAGTGGCTGCTTCTCTCTGTCAATGAGAAATAAAGGAGTTAAAATTTCTCTCTCTCTTTCTCTCTGTTCCTGTTGTTTCCATGGTGACGGCGGTCAGCAGCTCGGCGTGTGAAAGAAGTTCCGTTGTGAATGAGTCGGTGGGAAAAACTTTTTCTCCTCCTTTTCTCTGTTTCTGTCTCTCTCTCTTCCTCTCTCTCTCTCTCTCTCTCTCTCTCTCTTCACAGTCTATTTCTCCCTTGTTCGCCCCTTGTTGTGGTAAACAAGCCTCTGTGGACCACGTGACCCCCCAGCCCTCAACATCTCCCCCAAAACCCCCTTCACTCTTTTAACTGGGAACCAGTTAATGACTAGGATGGTTGGTGGGTTACATAATGGGTTCCTCTCCTTTTTTGGGGGTGGGGGGTGATGGAGAGGAGGATTGTGGTCTTTTGTTGCTGTGTTTCAGGGTTTGTTCGGCTCCAGTCATCCAGAGAATCGACTCTCGTCTCTCTGTTAACTGTTTCTCTTCAGCCTCAGATCCACATTCAGATCCTGGTTTAAACCAGGATATAAACCCTGATCCTGATCAGGACCTGAAACTGCTAAAAGTAAAAAAACTCGACTCTCAGTCACAGACCTCGGAATAAAATGTATTTGTCAAACTAGTTTTGACCTGAAGTCAGTGAAACATCGAAGCCGGATCAGATCCTCCACAGACCTCCACCAGAACCGAACACTGACCAGATCCATGTTGTGATCTGGATCTGCACCAGATCGTACAAACACAGAGATCAACATTAATGTGTCTGAATAAACATTAAACTGAGAAACTGATGAACATGTTGAAAAATGTTTCTCTCACAGTGATGAATAAACTCCTGGCTTTGCCCCTTTAACCCTGCCGACAAACAAACAAACACACAAACACACAAACGTCTGTCGTTGTTGTGGTTGTTGTCATTGTCGTTGTTGTTGCTGTTGTTGTTGTCATTGTCGTTGTTAGAAGCTCAGACACTCTTTTATTTAGACAAAGAGACTGATCAGTGAAAGCAGGAGGACCTGAAGCAACCTTCAGGTGTGTGGGGTCACATGACTCATCATAGTCAGTCTCAGTGTGTGTTAGTGTGTGTGTATGTGTGTGTGTGTATGTGTGTGTGTGTGTGTGTGTTCAGACAGAAACAGATTAAAAAGGATCAAACAGATTACACTGTTTGTATTGGAACTTTAATCTGACCTCAGATCAGTCACTGACGGAACCATCACACCTTTATGTTCTGACTCATCACTGAATACTACAACCCCCATCAGCCTCAGCTGCTGTTGTCATGGAGATGACCCCAGGCTCCTCCAATCACCAGCACCACTCTGACTTTAACCATCCTGCTGATTGGCAGCAAGACGGAGACTTCAGTGTGAGTCCACCAATCAGAACTCATTGATGACATCATCATCAACCCCTCCAGAGTCAGACAGGTGAACATCGTTGTCATGTTGTACACACCTGGTACCTCTGTGATGTCACACAGGTGAACATCATGTGTCCAGGTGAGAAGGTTTAAAGTCAGTGTCTCATTCTGTTGTTGGATAATTTCTTGGAAACTAAAAGCAACAAGTTACACAACAGGGAGTGAAGTGGGGGTGGGGGTCAGAAAGGGGGGGTGGGGGTGGGGTAATTGGGGTGGGGGGGTGTGGAGGTCCTGTTCCCTTTGTGGCTCCCACTGAACCATCTCCAATTACAGGACAAAGGCGACTCATTCAGCTCTCAGCTCCAATACTGAAGCTTTGCATGTCTAATGAGCGCTGGGCTGAATGCTGAGAGGGCCCCCCCCCCCCAAAACCCCCAACACCTCCTGGTCCCCCTCCTAACCCTCTGCACTGGGCCTCCTCCCTCTGAACCCCACCGGCCCCTAATGTCTCTGCAGCAGCTTCAGGTCCATGGGGGGGGGGGTCACAGCATTTTCTCTCTCTCTCTCTCTCTCTCTCTCTCTCTCTCTCTCTCAGTAGAAACAACAGAAAGTTCAGTCAAACAATCAAGTCATTTCATAAAAATACATAAAACATCATAAAGTATTTCAATAAGTTGTAATGTTACACTTTTATTCTCGATCCACAAGAAGAAAAATCATGTATTGTTGCAATTTTTTAAAGAAAAACAAATATTTCAGAAATAATTAAAATTTGTCATTTTTAATTGAAGTCATAATATTTAAAAATTAAAAAAAAAGTAATTTTACATGAAAAAAATAAAGTAGTAATCTTGTGAGAAAAATGTGTTGAGAATAAAGTCATAATTAATATTTTTCAAAGAAATTATATCATGTATATGTATTTATATGAATATTTGTTAAAGGTTGTAACAAATGAGAATGATAAAGAACCAACAATAGAACCCTGAGGAACCCCACAGGTCATTACTGACCCTTAATGAAAGGAGCAGCTGTTGACCAGTTAGCATCAACTCATTCATTCATTCACAGACTGTTGAGCTGGAACATGTGGGTAAATCATCAGAGTTTTTTTTTCAGTCAGATTTATTTTGAAGGACAGAGTTTAGTTCTTTGTTTCCTTCTTTCTGTGTTGACCTGCTGAAGCTCATTTAAAGATTATTTTAGGGAATTATGTGGAAAGTTTCCAGAAAGTGACTTTTCTTGTAATGTTTCTCTAACGTTCCTCGAATGTTCTTCAGTGCAGAGGTTTGTTCTCTCACATGAGAACATGAAGTTCCTGTTGATGTTTGTTTGTTCTGAGGGAGGATCATCACTGGACTTCCTGCTCCCCTCCTCCTCCTCCTCCTCCTCCTCCTCCTCCTCCTCCTTCTTCTTCTTCGCTCTCTTCATGTGTGGATCACAGTGAAAACAGTAACAGTCTCATAGCAGAGTCCAGAGCAGGACACAGGGGATACAGAGGACATGGCATCTCCAGTGTCAAGTGTTGACAGGTCGTTGTCTCATTAGAGGATTAATGTTTCATCTCTGCACTTCGACAATAATAATAATATTAATCAGTCAGACCTGGTTCAACACATCAGTGTTTCTGTAATAAAATAAACGACATCTTATATACAACACGTGTTATATTATATTATATTATATTATATTATATACAAAAACACACAGTGAAGTGAATCAGCATGAGAAACTTGGTGTCTGGTCTCTGAGCTGCAGACGATGTTCCTCTGTTTGTTGTCAACACTGAAGCTGCAGACACAACACACAGATTAACTACACACACACACACACACACACTCCTATCTGTGATGACATACCTGTTCTCACCTGTTCTACAGTCATGATGTAGATTAAACAAGACCAGGTGAAAACCTTTAAACCACATCACATCTGGATGCAGCTGCTGTCAGCTGTTTACGTCTCTCCTCTCATGTTCACGTTACCTTCAAAATAAAAGTTACACCAGGAGCCAGTTCCACAGAACACCTTAAGTTTTCTACTTAAGTCTGACACTCAAGGTTTAACTTTTCCTTAGCTGAGGGAGTCACTTAAGGGTGTTTCACATAATCTCTTTAAAGTTTTCCTTAGTTAAGGAAAAACATTAAGGCATTTACAGCAATGAAATAGATTTTACAGCAGTAAAATTCTACTGCAAATGAACAGTCTCCATGGAAACATGGAGACTGTTGATTTGCTTCCATTAGCTCTCGTAATACCTGCTCTCTTATCCTCCTGTTGTTTTGGCGGGAACTTTGGTCTCTAAGGTCTTTTGTTCAACAATTTAACTGACTTTAAGTGATTCCTGAAGTTAAAGACTAAGATAAGGAGTAAACCTTAAATATTTAAATGAACATTTTAAGGAAACCTTAAGGAGAACACTTAAGGTGTTTTGTGCAACTGGCCCCTGAGTCCTGGATCCAAACCACATACTGTCTCACCTGAGCTGTGACTGTCTCACCTGGACATGATCAGAGCTTCATACAGACTCGGTAAATTAAAACAGGTCTGAGAGAGTCCAGGATCTCAGGGGGTCTGTGGTGGTCTCTCAGATCCTGCAGAGTTCTCAGCTCGATATGTTTCTCTTCTTCATGTTTTCAACTTTACAGAACAACACACACATCCACCCCCCACCCCCACCCCTCTGAGGAAGCGATGGCGAGCCTCCACATTCCTCTGAACCCGGGAAACAACGAATCACATCACAGGAAATCAGAGAGGAAGAAGCTGGCTAATGCTTTCCTGTCACACACACACACACACACACACACACACACACGCACACACACACACACACACACACACACACACAGTCCAAACCATAATTACAGGTTGCGGATGTTCAGCAGTTAAAGTTTCACTGCAGCAGACTGTTAGAGACTCAACAAGACCAGGACTGAGACTAGGATCAGAACCAGGACCAGGACCAGGACCAGGACCAGGACCAAAGCCAGGATCAGGACCAGGACTGAGACTAGGATCAGAGCCAGGACCAAGACCAGGACTCTGGGTGTTTTCACTCCGTCAGTGTGTTTGCTGTGGTTCAAATCAGAAACTCAGAGCGTCTTCTCTTTTTACACAGTTCGCATCACTACATACACAGAAACGTTCTGTCCACCCATTGGTCAGGTGGGTTTGCAGGGGCGGGGCCAAGAAAGTAAATACAGGAAGTGTCTGTATTGACTCATGGTTAATTACCTCAACTGATTCACTCTATAAACACAACATGCTGATACTGAGTATGTGCAATGATGTGTTTCCTGGTGGCTGGGTCAGATCCATGTCAGATCCAGGTCGGATCCTGGTCCCACCACAAACGAACTTCTCCAGGATCCAAATAGGACCGGAGGGAGACCGCCTCCAGGGTCTCTATCTGGTTGTTTTGGTCCAGGTTAGGAACTAAAAGGGACAATGAACCAGGGTCTGATTTAACCGGCTCAGGTTAAAACAGCTCAGGTGTGAAAACAGCCTAAACCAGGATCAAGACTAAGACCTGGTCCAAGACTATGAGCAAGTGCTGAGAAAAGAAACGGACCACGACCAAGAGCAAGACCAGAATAAAGTAATAAACTAAGACTGGAACCAGGTTCTGGACCAGATTCTGGACCGGGATGAAGGAAAAACCCAGGAATGGGGCAAGTTCAAAGACCAAGATGAGACCAAACTAAGACCAGGACCAAGACAGAACCGAAATGGGGCCAAGGCCATGTTCAAGAACAGGACCAGGAGCAGAAAGAAGACTAAGAGCATAACCAGCAGTCTTGGTCCAGATTCAGAACCAAGCCCAGGACCAAGACCAGGTTCAGGACAAAGGCAAAGACCAAGACAGGACAGAGAACAGAACCAAGACCAGTACCAAGGTAGTGCTGTTCTGTTATTCTGCAAAAATCCTGGTCCACAACTGAACCCTGAACCAAGACCAGGACAAGACGCAAGACCACATGTTTCCTCTGAAATATTCATGTTTTCATAACAACATCAATCCATCCGTCGAGTCCAGACCAGGACCAGGACCAGGACCAGGACCAGGACCAGGACCAGGACCAGGACCAGGACCAGGACCAGGACTGTTGTCTGAAGTTTCTGCCTGAGTTAGAGTTTCTCGTGGTTCTTCTCTTCTTTGGTTCCCTGTTTCCCTCCAGCCGTCGTCATGGTGACAGTAAGCTATGCAGAGTCTGAATACAGTCAGCAGCTCCGAGGAAAGAGGCCTTTGTTACCCACAACCCCCATCAGCTCCTCCCCCTCCTCCCCCCTCCTCTCCCCTCCAACACTTTCTGTTCATCACAGCTCCGTTTTCTCTGACCAACAAACAGGAAACCAACCGAGCACCAGTCACATGTCCAACACCAGTATGCTCCCAGTTTATTCTCTGTATATTTCCAGCCTTTCCAGTGTGACTCCCCTTCAGTCTCAGTACATTCCTTCTATTTCCCAGTGAGTTTACTGCTGCTCCAGTATAGTTCCATTATATTCCAGATCTGGTCCCAACATATTCCCAGTATATCTCCAGCATACTCCCAGTGTTCCCAGTTCTGAAATCATTGAGGTCGGATATACACAGAGCAGTAGAAATACAGCATTTATTCTGAAATGTCACAGAAACTTGAAGTAAAAGAAAATGGAAATATTCAAGTGAAGTACAAGTACCTCAAAATTGTATGTTCTTGCAGTATTTCAGTAATTGAACTTTATCACTGACTGGTGATTGGTCCAGGCCGGCTACTACATTAGCAGTTAGCCCTTGAGCTACAGTAGTTGACTGGAAATGAAAGGGCATGCTAGCAGCTCTCTAACATTAGTTAGTTCAAGGCTTAAGTCAGAAACTAGCTTACATTAGCTAAACTGTAACGTAAGTCAGTAGCTAACGTGTGTGACGAGCCGTAAGATTCTGAAGAAGATTATTTTGTCGACATGATCTGAACCTTCTGTCATAAATTAAATACGTGTCGTTGAGTTTCGCCTCATGTCTTTGTCTCTGTGATGACGTCACAACACTGAGTGTCTCCGGTTCCACCCCCCTACACCCCCTCCCCCGCCAGCCCTCCTTCTATTACATCACCGCATGTACAGGGTGAAGGAGGAGGGACCCCAATTTCAAAGTGACCATCCCCCACCACAACACACCACACCACACACACACACAACACACACACACACACCACACACTCACACACAACACACACACACACACACACACACACACACACACACCAACACAGTATAACACCACACACACACCACACACACACGACTACAACACACACACCACGAACACACGACCAACACACACAACCACACACTAACACACACACACACAACACACACACACACACCACACACACACCACACACACACACAACCCCCACAATGCACATAGAAGACACATGCACACACAACCAACACATGCACACACACACACAATCACACACAACACACACACCACACACACACACACAACAACACGCCAACACACACCACAACACCCACACAACACACACACACACACACACACACACACCACACACACACACACAGATATGATGGGGTCAGAGGTCAGAGATCACAGAGCTGGACAATATGGAGGGGGGGGGGTCAGCTGGCTGTTTCCCACAAGAAACAAAAGAACTGATATTTGTATCATAATAAAAACTCATATTATTGTTTGTTTTTTACATCAACTGAACCTGATGCTGATTCACTGTTTTACTGATTCTATGAAACTAAATAACAAAATGTCCATAATGAATTTTTCAGTCTGTTATTATTGATCATCTTTAGTTTTATTCTTTTATTCTCTGTGTTTATACCTGAAATGTTTTTTATTAACTTTTATTCACGTCATTATAAAATTTAATTTCCAGTTTGTTTTCATGGATAATTTCTTATTTATTTCTGCAGCTCTGACGTCACTGTTATTTTACTGTTTTATCATTTATATCCATGATATTTATAAAACTAAACTGAGATTTTAATTATGAATTACAAACAAAATCAATTAACACTGTGGTAAATTAAACAGCTTAGTTAGTAAGTGACTTTTAGTTTAGATAGAAACGCGTTAAACAGTGAAGAAGACAGTTCCTGTTGTTTGAGACTTTCAGTATAAAAGCGGAATGAATCCTGTTATTTGTTAATATATTTATTTTCAATTATTATTCGTTATCGATCTGATCAGTTTTCATGAGGAATAAAGGAGCAGAAACACAATGAGGAGATCAGAAGGAGGGCAGCACCTTCTTCATCATCATCATCATCATCATCATCACATCATCATCCCCCTCCGTGTGTGTGTGTGTGTGTGTGTGTGTGTGTGTGTGTGTGTGTGTGTGTGTGTGTGTGTGTGTGTCCGCTCCGTCCCGCTCCGGTGTCGGACTCTTTTCCTCCGGACTCCGCTCAAGGTAAAAAAAAAACTTCTTTAATCCGGATTTTAACGGTTTTTATTTTCGGTAGAAGAAGATTCTTCTTCAGTAGAAAACATCAGAGTTGATTTAATAAAGTTTCAGTGTCTTTGTTCAGTTTAGTCCAGGATCTGAACTGAACCCGGGTCAGTTACTAAAACATCAGAAACATCACAGACTGATTTTTATTACGAGTTTAAAAAGACTAACGTGACGTCAGAGTTTCTGTTTTTGGTTTTACTTTAAAAACGAAGAAGAAGAATATATAGGTAAAATGAGCTGGAATTTACCGGGTTGACCCATTTGTTAAGAACTAGCCCGTTTACATCGAGGTTAACGGAAATAAAAAATTACTGTTGAAATGTGTGAATGTGAGTGTTAACGAACCAAAGAGGATTTTAAATGGAGGAGGCGAGTTATTCACTAAAATCCACAGTTTTCACATGAACACAAACTGATTCTGAGTAAAAACGTGTTTAAAGTTTAAAGGTTTGTGGATCAAAGTAAATCTTCACACTGACAGTAAAGATACGAGGTTTTATATCCTTATACCTTCACAATAAAAGAATAAGAGTCCACAACAGGCAATGATGAGGATGTTTAACTGTTCAGTCAGTGTCAGACATAATCTCACACATTTTACAACATCATCATTACTGCAAGTAAAAGTGTCCCTCTGATGTTTCACCTTGTTGTATCAGCGTGATCAGTGTGAACTGGGATCAGTCTAACTCTCTCTCTGATCTGCATTGAATTTTACTCCTTTTGAAAAAGCATTTTTCACTTTTTTCTGAGGTTTTTGGGAAACACTAGGAACCAGATCCACCGATAGAGATTCTAGCAGCAACTAGCTCTTCATCTTCTGTCAGTAAATATAAAACATGGCCATCTTGTTTGGAATGGGAAATAAGAAGTTAATTTTGTGAATGTGTGATCTGGCAAACACACCACAACTGAGAGACTGAGGAGTGTTTGAGATCTGAGACCCTGAACTGAAATTATTTCAGACTAAGAACTCATGTGTTGAGTCTGATGTAAAGCTGCATGCTGCGATTCTGTTTCCCTGTCATATGTAAATGTAACTGACTCTGATTCAGCGTCTGTGGGTCTAAACGTGTCTAAGGTTTTGAACCAGAGACCAGGTTTTACAGTTTTCTTGGACCAGTTTGTTTTTTCGAGTGTCTGACGGTTGTGTGTCTCTCTGCAGGACCATGTACCCCTCCAGCAGCAGGACTCTCTCTGTTCCTCTTGGGGGTTACTACCTGACATGAAGGACTGAAGTTTGAGGACGTATCTCCCCCTACTGGACTCCTGCTGCAGCTGCAGGCCATGGCTGAGCCCAGCTACTCCGACCTGATCGCCAAACACTACAACTACACCGGCAAGTTCCGCAAGACGGAGCAGGACTCAGGTCTGAAGGCCGACTCGGTGGTTTTCATCATTGTGTGCTGCTTCATCATCCTGGAGAACATCCTGGTCCTGACCACCATCTGGAGGACCAAGAAGTTCCACAAGCCCATGTACTACTTCATCGGGAACCTGGCGCTGTCCGACCTGCTGGCCGGCGTCGTCTACACCGCCAACATCCTGCTGTCGGGCGCCAACACCTACAAGCTGACGCCCACGCAGTGGTTCTTCAGGGAGGGCAGCATGTTCGTGGCGCTGGCAGCGTCCGTCTTCAGCCTGCTGGCCATCGCCATTGAGCGCCACCTCACCATGCTGAAGATGAAACTGCACAACAACGGTAACACCTGCCGCGTCTTTCTGCTCATCAGCACCGTATGGATGATCGCAGCGGTGCTGGGCGGCCTGCCGGTGATGGGCTGGAACTGCATCCAGAGCATGATGCAGTGTTCCACTGTGTTGCCACTCTACCACAAGACCTACATCCTGTTCTGCACCACCGTCTTCAGCATCATCCTCATGGCCATCGTGGTGCTCTACGCTCGGATCTACGCTCTGGTGCGCACTCGCAGCCGCAAACTTGTTTTCCGCAAGGTGTCCAACGGACGTGGTAATGCCGGCGCCAACAGCAAGAGCTCAGAGAAGTCTCTGGCGCTGCTGAAGACCGTCATCATCGTCCTGAGCTGCTTCATTGCTTGCTGGGCGCCGCTCTTCATCCTCCTGTTGCTGGACGTGGCCTGCGAGACACTGAGCTGCCCCATCCTCTACAAGGCCGAGTGGTTCCTGGCACTCGCCGTCCTCAACTCTGCCATGAACCCTCTCATCTACACACTGACCAGCAATGAGATGCGCCGTGCATTCCTCAAGACACTGCTCTGCTGCACCGCCTGCCTCCGGCCCAACGCAAAGTTCACCGGGCCCATTGTGGGCGCTGAGTTCAGCCGCAGCAAGTCAGATAACTCCTCCCACCCCAACAAAGAGGAGGTGGAGTACTCGCCAAGGGAGACAACGGTGGCGTCCTCGGGGAACGTCACCTCGTCGTCCTAAATGTTGCTCAACTGTTAACCAGTCGGAGGGAGAAGGATGTACGGGGTGAGATGGAGAGTTTGTTCTCAAACAGGTGTGAACAGCGCCAGGTGGCGTAACCTGAACCGACCTGAACCGTCAGTGGATCAGGACTCACAGCACTTGTGGAGATTTTGAAATTGGTTAAACTGGGACCAGTGGACCCTCAGAAAGAGGAGGTGACATCTGTCACCTGTCATCACACACAGAAACACACCTGCAGGAGGATCAGCTGGTTTACAGATACACTTCAGGTTCAGGTCTATCTGGACTCACTAGGCTAACGTGGATCACGGTGGTCCAGGTTCATCCAGGACCTGATGCTTCATAGAACGTTACTGATCCTGGTAGAAGAAGAATCAGACTTTGTACTGACCCTCTAAGAACAACTAGAACCTGTAGCTTAAACACCGCTGTCAAATATTTAAGATGCAAATTAATTCATGAAGTTTTTCTTTTGTTTCCTTCACTTCCTGTAAAAAATCTTCACCTGTGGAAATGTCATGTGACTCAGAGCTCAGGTGCTTTTCAGTAACTGTTTGATCTTCACATCTTCACTCTTCTGAACATCTGCATCAGCTCCAACATCTGGATTAGACCAGTGTGATGGGACCACCTTGTCTCTCTGGTGTATTTAGAGAAATCACATGACTGATTTAATCTTTATTGATTCAAACTACTGCTACAAACAAAACCAAATACTTTCTTCACTTTTCATTCATTCATAATGTTTAAGTGTTCACTGAAGTTCACCAGCTACCTGGACAGTCCTCCTCACGCTGTGTTCAAGACGACAGGAAACTCAGAAACTTCTGAGGAGGTTCTGAAAAACGCGCATCACATGATCGACTCAGAAAAAAACATGGCTGCCACAGTAACATCTTCACACTTTCTCTTTACAAGGAACATGAACAAGTTACTGCAGCTGCTTGTCGTGGTTCAGCAAGACAGGAAGTGTCTAAAGCAATGGTTCCCAATCTGTGATCCAGGGCCCACTGGTGGGCCACAAAGGTATTGCAAGTTGGCGGAAAAAATCATTTGCAGAACAGAACGATTTTGGTGAAAAGCTGTAAATAAAACAAATATATGTATAATTAATGTTTTTAAATGTTTTAAAACAAAATGATCTTTCAGAAACATTTGCATCATTTGACTCCATATTGTTACGGATGTGGGCCCTGACTTTGAAAAGGTTGGGAACCAGTGAACGTACTTCTGTTTGTAGCCTTGTGTCGTCACTAATATATAAAGAATGTAACTGTATCACATACAATAGTGGATGAAATGTTATTGATTAGTGATTAGAGTTTGTAATGTTACTCTTTCCATCAGTGGTTGTTATGATGTCAGGTTTCTGACCTGTTCATGTGTTCTGATCATTTTTTCTGATTTAATCTGTAATTTCTGACTTTCTGACGTGTCAGGAAAACGCAGCATCAGCTACAAACCTGAACAGGTGCAAGAGCTGTGAGGTCACATGACCACAGAGGAAGCATCAGTCAACACACAGTAATAACATGAACCTGCTTCAGCTTCAGGTGAACGTGTGAAAACTGCTTCACTCATTTTATCAACTAAACTTTTCACATCTGACAGGAAACTGTTGCTGATGATGTCAGACCTGATACTGATAAAACTGATAACCAATCAATCAATAATCTGATGAGTGTGAGAAGCACCTGAACTCTGAACTCACCTGTTTTTGACGTCTTTGTAAAAAGTTTAACTGTGTTGTAGAAACTGTTGGTCAGAGTCTATTTTCTACTTCCTGTTTGTTGTTGCCGTAGTGACGTGTGTAGTCGACTTTGTTTATATCTGAAACAAGTTTGTCGTTTTCAGGTTTGTTCAGTCGTGTCTCAGATCTACAGAAGCTCGTTTCTGCCAAAAAATAAATCAAAAATTCTCATTCATATTTCAGAATTATAACACCTTTCAAATTAAAAGCCTAACTGATTCTCAATAAGTTTATTTTCTGTCTCATCTCTAAGTCCATTTAATACCTGTTCTGGAGAGTTCTACCATATCACATGGACTTCATCAGCACATTTCAAGGTCATGGAAGGACCTTTAATAAAAGGAGGAGGAGTCTTGCATCTGCAGTTTCATGATGACAGAGCAACCGAGGAAGATCATGTGGTACGATTGAAAGCTTGAGAACAGCTGCTAAATGGACCTTGTAGTGAGATTGTTTGACTTAGCCAGTAAAATACTACTGAGTGATGATAATGAGTTCTGTCGCTGAAGGAACCTCGTCGTGCTCAGAACCTCATAGAGAAATTTCATGTTTTAAGAATCCGATCATTTTTATCGTCTCATTTGATTTTGGCAGGAATGAGCTTCTGTACAGATAAAACACTGTTACCATGGAGACCACTCCCCTTCAAGTTTCATCCTCTATCAGGAGCTGATCAATTAATCCATTAATGATCTGTGTTTGTGATCAGAGTGTGAGCTGTGTATGTTAATTCCTGGATGTTGGTTCGTTAGCACTTAATAAAGACAGAGATAGAAACACAGTTTGTGTCTGAGAACAATGACACTAATATTAAAGATGAGACTGAGGACAGGAAATATTTGAGTGTTTTAACAAGTTGAGTTCAGGAGCAGTTGGAAAGTTGAACTCCAGTAACGGCTGGAGATGAAGATGGATGTGGCAGCTGAAAGTCAAAATTCATCTGCTGCACAAAGCAGTTCAGTTCTTGACTATCTTAAGCCAGACTGTGCTATAATGAATTCAGGGTAAATTAAGACTTTTTTCAAAATAAAACTAGAATCACCCCCTCCTCCACTCAGACTAGTTTCAGGTCACATCCTGTTTATCCAGAGTCATATTAAATATAAAATCTGAACCATTTGTGTGAAATTTTGTCATAATTGATGTGAAGTCTTGAGTAATGGCTGAAAAGTGTTTTGTGAGGTCACCACGCCTGTGACCTTTGACCTTTAGCCACCAAAATCTAATCAGTTAATTGAGACCTGAGTCCTAGTGAATGTTTGTGCCAAATCTGAAGAACTTCCGTCAAGGTGTTTCTGAGATTTCGTGTCCACGAGGATGAGACAGACGGATGGACAACCTGAAAACAATATGGCCGTCGCTCTGATTGTCGCCAGCGTGGAGGAATAAAAAATGGTCGACCAAGAAACCACATCCGACCACTGAGCTCTGTTTACCCTCAGAAGAACATGTTTGTCTTTAGGAAGAATTCAACAGTTAGAATGACGTGGTGAACTGTGACTGATGATAAAGTACATTACAGTCCGTTATAATGCAGTTATTACATGTTCTAATAAATACTGGGGAGGGTAAATCACGTTACAGCTTCATCATTATCAAAACATGGACACTAAATATTGTGATCAGTCACAATAAGTGTAAACACCTCTAATAACAACATGTTTGATACGTTCATCATATGGTTTGTTTGTTAAATCAAAGTAAACAAAGCTGTGAGTCTGCAGGGACACACCACTGTAGCTGAAGGCTCTTCCTCTGATTGCAGGTCAGCTGAGGACCTGGTCCTCTGGTCCAAACTGACCTGGTTCTGGTTCTTCCGGAGTGATGTGAACATCCTGATGCTGCTTTTTACTGGCATCATCATCGTCATTAAATCAGCTTCATATGAACTTTATAACGAGGCTTCACTCTGACCTTTGTAATCCAGGATCCATCACAGTTATAGCAGAGAACTGTGGCCCCTGGAGCAGCAGGAGGCCCCTGAGTGAGAGTGAACGACCACATCTTCAGAGGTTGGGAGAACAAGAAGAAGAGGAAGTAGAGGAAGAAGAAAAAGAAAGAGAAGAAGAAGAAGAAGAGGAGGAGGACAATGAAAGGAGGGCAGGAAAGGAAAAGACAAGAAGGTGAAGGATGAAAAGAGAAGAACGAGACAAAAAGTGAGGGAGAGATGGAAGAGTAGAAAACAAATAAAGAATCAAGAGGAGGAGAGAAGGAAAGAGGAAGAAGAGACGTCAAATGAGGAATGAAGGAGGGAAATGAAGGAGGGAAATGAAGGAGGAGTGATTTTTGAGTGTTATGAGGTTTTGCTGCCTCCCTGTGGCCACATCTGGACACTACATCTGATACAGACACAGACACTGATACAGAAACTGACACTGACACAGACACTGACTCAACTACAGACACTGACACTGACACTGATACAGACACAGACACTGACACTGACACTGACTCAACTACAGACACTGACACTGACAGACACTGATACAGACACAGACACTGACACTGACACTGACTCAACTACAGACACTGACACTGACACTGATACTGACACAGACACTGACACTGACAGACACAGACTCAACTACAGACACAGACACTGACACAGACACTGATACTGACTCAACTACAGACACTGACACTGACACTGATACTGACACAGACACTGACACTGACAGACACAGACTCAACTACAGACACTGACACTGACAGACACTGATACAGACACAGACACTGACTGTTTAAAGTTACAATAATCAATATTAGACATGAACTGATCAGTTTCATGTGTAAGGCTCTGTCTGGTTCATTAATAACATCACAAAGTAATTAAGTCACACACATTAATAATAATGATCCTGTGTTACTTCCTTTACTACGGGGTGTGTGTGTGTGTGTGTGTGTGTGTGTGTGTGTGTGTGTGTGTGTGTGTGTGTGTGTGTGTGTGTGTGTGTTCTCCACTTTGCCAAACTTAAAGTGCTATCATGAGTCATGACCCCTCTTCTTCACATATGCATTCTGGGAAGTGGAGTCTTCAAAGCGGCTGTTCAGCCGTCTCTCCTACGGGACATGAACGACATTTCCCAGTATGCCCCGCGCGTTTTCTTCCTTCCCTCTTTCCTTCCTGCAGCCGCGGCCCTTCTGCCGTGAAAAGGAAGATGAAGTGAGCGGCGGTCCGCCGACACTGAACCAGATCTGAACCGAGTCTGACTTCCAGCGGTATGGCGGCAGAGCGGCTGCAGACGGACAGGAGCCCGAGCTCAGCTGCTGTTCTCCGGCCTTGAACTCGACGCGACCGCCGCTGGAGCCGCGGAGCTCCGGAGCCTGGAGGAGCGGCGGGTGGAGCTGCAGCCTGCCGGGCCGGGCCGGGCCGAGCCGAGCCGCCGTCACCTCCCTCTACTGCTAACGATGCTCAGCTAGCTGCCAGGACTGAAGCCTCGACAGCACCGCACCCTGAAATCAGACCAGATCTCTCTCCCCCCCCCCCCCACCCTCACCCCCTGCCCCCCAGGTAGGGAATTTCATGCTGCACACCTGGAGGTTTACCTGGTCCCCTGGGTCAGACTGGCACAGATCTGATTGCGGGTTGTTTTATCCTGCTGTTGTGGTAGATCTGGGTCCTGGTGTAAGACTGGACCAGGTGTTCTGTAAAGCTCTCACCTCTGTAGCTATTAGTTCTGCTGTGAAGCTCATCAGGGACTACAGGTGACTCTACAGGTGACACCTGACAGGATACAGGTCGACCTGTAACGCTGGTCTTGACCTGCCCCCTCTTGTAGAAGGACTTCACACACTCAGTGGTCCACTGTGGTCTAAGTCAGTCTGAGTCCTGCAGGTCACACAGGTGTCTTTTCACCTGGAGGACGGACTCTTTGCTGCTGACAGGTGTTTCAGGCTGATGTAAACAGACTGGATCAGACTGACTCTGTTGAATCACGACATCATCACATTTTAAAGAAACTCAGCTGAGACATAGAACGACCGCTGACATGGTTTTATGGTAACTCACGGGAAGTGAACACCTGGAACATCAAAGTACTTCATCACATTAATGCAAACATTATTCAAATCCAACCAGACCTTAAAGGGACCTGGTCACAGATCAGTCCAACACACCAGAGACCAGAAGAGAGCTCCTTATAAAACCTGTAGACTGAAACAGAAACACCAATCACAAACTGTGTTACAGACTCTGATCCTGAACAGGTCTTGGTTTGATTGTGTGGTCCTGGTCGGATCCTGGTCGGATCCTGGTCCGGTCCTGGTCCTTATCCTGTCCTGTTGTTGCAGTGTCCCTGCAGCATGGAGCGCTCCGGCAGCATCCAGCTGGACATCCCGGACTTCAGTAACTCGGTTCTGACCCACTTGAACCAGCTGCGTGTGCAGGGCCGTCTCTGTGACATCGTGGTCAACGTTCAGGGCCAGAGCTTCCGCGCACACAAGGTGGTCCTCGCTGCCAGCTCGCCGTACTTCCGGGACCACATGTCTTTGAGCCAGATGAGCACCGTGTCGCTGACGGTGATCAGGAACCCGTCGGTGTTCGAGCAACTGCTGTCCTTCTGCTACACCGGCCGCCTCTGCCTGCAGCTGGCCGACATCATCAGCTACCTGACAGCCGCCAGTTTCCTGCAGATGCAGCACATCATCGACCGTTGCACTCAGATCCTGGAGGGCATCCACCTGAAGATCAGCCTGGCTGATCTGGATGAGGAGTCCAGGGAGGAGGAGGCGCGGGGCTCCAGGAGCAGCAGGACCCTAGAGGCGGTGTTCCGAGGAGCGGGCCATCACGGCGGCCTGCGGCTTCTCGGCCCACGGGGAGGCGCGGAGGCCTGCGAGGCGGTGAGCCCCATTGAGGGGCCCATCAGTCCGCCGCCAACTGTGGAGCACAGTGGGCTGGAGGGGCCCGGGGCCGCCACCACTGGCCGAGCAGGCAAAGAACCGATCCTTCGCATCAACCGGGCCGGTCAGTGGTACGTGGAGACGAGCAGCGAGCCGGAGCGAACCGGCAGCGCTGAGGAGGGCGGCGGCATGGATGGAGTCAGGATCAAGACGGAGAGGATGGAGGAGTGGATCGGAGCAGGAGAGCACCAAGAGGAGGGGGGGCCGGTGGAGGAGGGGGCCACTGTGATGATCGACACATCGGGACGCAGCACGTTGGTGACAGGGGCGGTGGGAGCACTGGGGGCCCGGAGCATCCAACCGTCTTCCAGCTTCAGTGAGACAGACAGGTGAGTCACTGTTGCTCTGACTGAACGACCAACGCATGACGACAGTTCTGTTAATATGTGTGTGTGTGTCTGTCAGGTTCAGTCCCACCGGCAGCGTGGTCGTCCTGGCCGAGCGCCAGAGAGCGAAGAGCGAGTCTCCCAACAGGCCGCATGAACTGCGACAGCCGAGCTCCCAGGTACCTGTCGATCAAGCTTTATACAGCCTCATAGTTCCTACAACACCCAGAACCTCTTCAGTGATCATTAGAACATGTTCTTAGAACATCCTCAGTGTCCTGTAGAACCTCCTCACTGACCAGAAGAACTTCCTCACTGACTAGTAGAACCGCTTCAGTGGCCTAGAACCCTCTCAGTGTCCTGTAGAACCGCCACAGTGGCCCGTAGAACCTCTTCACTGTCCTGTAGAACCTCCTCAGGACATATTTCTGTCAGTACTTTGAAAAGAATTGAGTTTCTAAAGAATCTAGTAAGAGATCCAGTCCGATTCAGACTTCCTGGTCCTGCTCCTGGGGTGTATTAACATTTTGTTCTGCCGATCAGGGGGAAGAACATGCTGCATTTGATATGGGCGGCTACGAGGACTACCTAAGGGAGCAGGTAGGAGACCGATGGTTCCGCTACAATCCCCGGCTCACCTGCATCTACTGCTGCAAGTCCTTCAACCAGAAAGGCAGCCTGGACCGCCACATGCGCCTGCACATGGGCATCACGCCGTTCGTCTGCCGCATCTGCGGGAAGAAGTACACCCGCAAAGATCAGCTGGAGTACCACATCCGCAAGCACACCGGAAACAAGCCCTTCCACTGCCACGTCTGCGGCAAGAGCTTCCCCTTCCAGGCCATCCTCAATCAGCACTTCCGCAAGAACCACCCGGGCTGTGCCCCCCAAGAGGCCCACAGCGCTTCCCCCGAAACCACCACCGCCTCTGTCACGTCCAGGGGGGGGCCGAGCGACGAGGCCTCCCCCAGCCAGGAGGAGCCGGAGGGCGGGGGCAGTGGTGGTGGGAGCAGCGGTGGTGGAGGCCAGTATGGCGAGGGTCCCCAGGCCTCGGTCTCCACCACAGGGCCCGACTGACCCCGAGAGGTGGAGGGGTGTGGGGTCGAGGTCGGGGTGGGGGGAGACAGACGTGGGGGTCTGGTTTGATCCCAGTGTACCTGCAGACAACAGGAACCCGCTGACGTCAAAGCAGCGACAGACAGAACTCTCAGAGTCCGGACTGAGATTTTTCTGCTTTAAACCGCATCTACCTTCACTAACCAAACCGAACAGATTAAGCTAAAATGAAGAAATGCCACACAGTCCAACAACCTCATACACCACACACCGTGGTTCTCGTTTGCCTCCGTCTAGTTTGTTCTGTTACAGATTTCTAATTTTATATTTACAAGTATTACAGGTTCACAACACAGCATCACAACAGTCTGTCTGGTGGAAACTTTGCCAAACTTCTCAGTGCCAGTTCAACACTTCAAATCCTTCATATTTGCCTTGAGACAATCTGGAGCAGTCGGGTTCATCATAATAATCCTGCAAGTTCTTCAAGTGCCACAATGGCCAAAAAGATTTAGTTGTACAAAAAGATTAAATGAGAAAACGATGTTCAGCTCCAGTGTGATCAGAGTTTCTATAAAACTTCATGTTGTGCGACACTTGTACAATACATACCTTATCAAGACAGCTGTTCTCACATCCTCTACACCGCACCTCACTCCTGACACAAGAGCTTTTTCTTTTCCCCTTTTACTAAGCGGTTCAGTTTGTAAAACTTAACAGCACAGCATTTAAATACATCACTGATTAATCTTCAGGTTAGTTTCTTGGTTAATTCATTTGTGTTTTCATCTATAAAAAAACACATTCAGACTGATTGTTCCGTTTACATCAAGAAACAGTGAATCCTCAGTTTAGAGGCTGCGACTAGAAGATGTTTGAAAAGGACTTCCAGATTCTATCTCTGGATAAACCGATTGATGGTTAAACATTTTCGGTTTTTAATATTGTTTGTCATTTACTTTGTCCTGGATTCATTCTGGTCCAGAAAACATAGTCACACAGGTCTGAACGTTTGAACCAACAACTGGATCACCAACACGTCATGAACGAGTGACGAGACCTAGATAGATGGATGGATAGATACTTTATTTATCCCCTAGGGGAAATTCATGACCTGGTCATCAACAAGTGAGAAATAAATTGAAATAGACAGAATTCCTGTCAGTTTTAATAAGTATCAGGCTGCAGGGACAGTCTGGTTCTGGTTCTGGTTCCAATGAACCGAAGCTTAAAATATTCCATAAAAAAGAAACACACCATCAGTTGGGAAATATAAAGTTCAGCTGATGTATTAAATACAAAACAAACTGAGATTTCACTTTTTGGAAAGATATCTTATATTGAAAAACATTTAAAATCTGCATTAAATGGTCTAAACATAAGGTCCACTTACCCAGAGCTTTCGTCTGTATCTCACAGCCTTCATCAGAGAATGGAATTTGCTCAGGTCTCACATGACCTAAGTCGGACATATGATTAATGGTCGCACCTGGAGGGACCTTGCAACCAGTCCATGTTCTAGAGCTGTTCAACAAACCCCTGAAGAAGACCATGAGATGCATTAGAAAGCTCCAGATAGTGATAAAGACGTGTCCCCAGGTGCTTCATGCAGGAGAGACAGTTAAAAGCTGAACTCTGATCACACTGGATGAACTGATTAATCTGGCGGTAAATTGTGTCTAAATTCTTCAGATTGGAGTCGAGACAGTTGGACTCAGTTTTAAGGATCTGGTATCGAACCATCTGGCAGCCTGTTGACTGAACAGACTCACAGCAGGAAACAACTGGACGGCGTCCAGCCTCAGATAAGCTACACAGCTCAGTTACCTCTCATCACTACGCAATATAGCTGCTGCACTGCATAGCACAGCACCACCGGGGGGCGCTCTGATCCACTAACAGAGATCTCCGTCAGTCTTCTCAGATATTTTTATAAACAAGCATGTCTTTATTGTTTTCTTGTTTTTTTTCTTGGACACTTTTTTGCTCTGACAATGTGTGAGACAGAAGATGAGCTTTGAGGTCGAGGAGACGTGTCGAGACTTGATCACTGACTTCTGTCGCAGTTAATGACGCATTGAACCTGCTGCACGTCACTCCAGACCTGGTCCAGTTGCAGAGAAAACCACAGGTCTAAAACAGAGGCTTCAGATAAGAACTGCACCTAATGATTATTGTCATTATTGATTAATCCGCAGATTATTTTCTGATTCATCGATTTGTTTATAAAGTATCAGATCCTCATATTTAAATCAAAAAATTAATAAAACAATTGTAAGATTATCAAAACAGATGTCGATTTAATTTTCAATTAATCAACTAATGATTGATTGATAGATAATTGATACTTCTTTACCTCCAGTCCAGTCAGGTAGAACACACAGAAAAAGATAACTCTGCCATTGTCAAAACTGAGGCGTGTTATGCTAACATTAGCTTGCTAACAGTTTTTGCTGACTCGTCACGGACAAAAAACTGCTTCCCCACACCATAGTATCTCCACTGCTAATGGAGCTAACATCTGGGAGCTATTTAGCTTTTAGCTGATGTTGACTATTTAACATTAGTGAGTTTTAGTTTCCTGAGTCACACTAAATCAACATTAGCTCACAAGCTAACACAGGTTTTGTCTTTTACTCATTGAGTAAAAATTGTATTCAATTCATTAAACACCACAGACCTGCTGCTTTGACTCTTAGCTGACTTTAGTCGACTGAAATTTAACAGTTGAAAACAGTAAAAACAGTAAAAACTTAAAAGCTTAACTAAATCTTAAGTAAACTCTGTTTATAGTAGAGTTATGTAGATGCGGATTTTTAAGTTTTATTTTTAATCCATGTTTCCTGTTTTCAGATGGAGATCTGTTTGAAGTCCAATACTGAGAAAGGCCCAGGACATGTTTTGCCAATCTTAGCACAAAGACTGGAAGCAGGGGAAACTGTTAGCCTAGCTACAAGAAATGAGAACACACCCAATATTTTCAGTGACAATATGTTCAATTTAGCTCTCTGGCTAATGTTAGCTTGCGAGCTAACAGACAGTTAGCTTTTCCAATAAGGATGCAATTTTCATATAATGATGTTTAACATTGTTTTTTTGTATTCAACTAACAACCATTTTAATTATTGATTAATCTGATTGATCAATAAATTGTTTTGTTTTTGAAATATCATGAAATAGTGAAAAATGAATATAATAATCTCCCAGAGATCGTTCATCAAAAATTCAGACGTTTCTGTTTTAAATGCTCATTAATGATGAATCGATTATCAGACTATCACTGCAGACTATTTTCCTTTCATCACCTGATCAGCTCGAACAGTCTGTAGTATTTTCACTGTGACCTCTGACAGGTAAACGTGCAGCAGAGTTCATGCGTCATTGATGACAGTCGTGATCTGGTAGCGTCAGGACGAGGAGCCAGACCCAGTCAGACCAGATGGATGTAGTAGCCAGGCCGTGGAGCTGGATCTTAAAAACCCTCCAGAGGTCAAAGTTCACCTGCTGGAGGTAGGAAGCAGGAAGCAGGTCAGACCGCCTGGCAACCAAAGGAAAGAGGGTGCGGCCACATTGGCCCTCCAAAACTCCAAAACAACTTGAGCACTTATCAGAGACGGAGTCCGAACAGAAACTTTTTATAAACAGAACAATGAAAAATCAACATATTATCAGACAAACATATTTAAACTACTAAGATGTTTTTGCATATGAATAATGTAAAGAAGCTAGGAGCTGAGGTGTGAGGTAGGTCGGCAGGTAGCACACGGATCGGCTGTTACTGTTTTTCTACAGAGCTGTGAATCAGATTTTCAGTGGCCACTCAGTTTTTTATGCAAGTGAAGGCAGCGGCTCTGTCCTCACTCCGGCTGGCTGGACTCCAGTTTCCCTCCCAGATCGCACGGCCACGCTCACTCTTCAGGCTAAACCAGGAACTATCAGGTATAGAGACTCTTCTTTTATTCAGTGAACCGGACATTTACCTTTCCCCACGTAGCAGAATGCTAACGGCTTAACCTCAGTGCGAAAAATCAAACTCACCTGTAAATAAAAATGGCAGCAGGTAAGAAATCCTTGCAGGTCACTGCAGAGGACGACAACACACAAACCAGGGCCGGGCAATACGAACAGAAACTAGTCCTCAACCACAAGACCTCCTCTAGTGTCCCACAAGAAATCCTGGTCTGTGATTGGCTGGCAGGGAGTCAGGGACACACTGACACAGTTTGGTCAGTTCAGTTGTTTGTGGTGACCTTTCACCTCCGCTCTGTCCCTCATCCTTCTCATCCTCATGAGTCAGGAACCTCAGTGTGACATCACAGCAGCTGATCGTGTGACATCACAGCTGATCTCAGTCCAGTCACCTGCTGCAGGAATATTAACTGACACAAACAGAATCAGGAAACAAACTCATTTTAATATTTAACACACAAGTGAAAACACTATCAGAGAAATCTAATTGTGAATTAAGTCTTTGTGCACAAATCTTAAATAGATTATTGATTAATCTGCTGGTTGATTAATCATTCAGAAAACATCACGGGTTCCCGAGTCACTGTGACGTCTTCACTGCTCTGCTCTGTCAGAACCTCAGACATCTGTAGTTCACCACCATGTTTATTACCTTATATATTGATTGATTATTATCAGCAGCTGCTGATTGATTTTTTTTTTATCAGTTAATGGGTGAATTGTTTAAACAGTTCAACTCACAAATCCAACGTGAAAATAATCATTTCAATATTCATGCTCCATAAAAGGAAACTGAAAAAGTTTGAACCGCGACTTCTTCAGAAAATATTAAAGAAAAATGATTAAAATGAAAAATGTGGCTCCAACTCAAACTGTTGGTCTAGCAAATTAAAGAGTCGATCAGTTGATCGATCAGTTAGCTGATAATTAATCAGTTCTACCTTTGATTCAGTTCAGCCTGACGAGTTTCTTTGGCTGCTGATCAAATGAAGTTATAAGTTGACCTCAGTCGTTGCCAACGTCTGCCTCCATTTTCATATTATAGACAAAACAACTGGTGTGAACTGGTTTGTGTCATCTGTAGGTTTGAAACAAGCAGTAACTTCCCTCCTCTCCGCACTGAGGTGTAGGTGAACTCCTCATTTCAAGCCAGTTAGAGTCCAGAACATCTGGTCCGGTCCGGTTCGAGGAATCTGTAGAAAAGGAAAAGTCGGATCAGAGTTGACCTGACGAGCTGAGCTCCACCTGACACTGAAGTGTCGTGCGTCACGTGATTCAGTTTAACGTTCAGAGTGACGGCGGCTCGTCCACTGATCCAAGCGCAAGCAGCTGTTAATCAGAGACCTGCTGTGATTCATTAAACTATCATCACATAGAAGAACATGTGAAGGTTCAGATCCGACTTTTCCTCTTCAGTTCCTCAGTTCAGCTTCAATCTTCAAACTGTGAAAACAGCCCAACCTCATCATCATCATCATCATCACCATCACCCTCCTCTGGTCTTCATTGTGTCTCTTTGCTTTACAACAAAAGCCAAACGTTGTTTATGTGTCTTCACTCTTTGATTTTTACTGTGTGAATCAAATGTTTAGTCTTTAATATCCAGTAACCTTGACCACAACATGCCTAATGATGAATCATCTAGAAATATTCACTTAATGAGATTACTCTGTACTGTTGATTCCTCAAATATACCCTAATATATCAACACGAGTCCAAGACAAATATGGTGTTTAGTAAATTAACTTTTAATACTGTACACTTTTTTAAGAGGAGGTACTAAACGTTCTGTAGTAGAACCTGAGAGGTTCCATGTGAAGATCTTTTATGTTGCATGTCTCTGTTGCTAAAACATGTTGTTGGGGAGGGGGAGGGGGAGGGGTGAGGCCAAAGGTTGATTATAGTTTAGAAAAATGTGAAGAAGCTTCTTTCACTATGACCACTAGATCACTCACAGGTCGCATCTCCTTCAGAGGAAATAAAGCACTTTCAGTGTCGAACCGCAGCCGCTCGCCTCGTTCTTTACCCACAGAGACCTCCTGAGACCACCTGAGACCACCTGAGACCACCTGAGACC